TAAATTTCATTAATTTATTTTCAAAACACCTAAATAACAAAATATATGAAATTTTAATTTTGTTAATAATTTCTATGAACCAACTTGCAATCAACAATAAACAACCGCTCCCTTTTCTATGTTCATAGGGCATAACAATAAACCAAAACAAAGGGCACCAAGGTTAACCAATATAAAGATGTAATTTGTCTATGGCCATAACCTCAATTTTGTCTGATGGGATTTTTCGGTTTTTGTACTTGTTGAAGGTAGAGTTCACTAGCAGCAAGGTGATTTTTCAAGTAAGTTGTAAGTAGCAACTAAAATAAAAATACCACTATACTTTCTCCATGAAAATTTTAACAATCTTTGAACTTTTTCCATTTAAGAATCTCCTGTGTCTGAGTTTTCAGGAATGTTTTGTTTTCTGCCACGACTAGAAGAAATTTACCCTTGCAGATTCAAATAACATATCTAGATTGATTTAATAAGTTACATATATCAGGAACATGTTTAGTCTTTATGATAAATACATGCTAAGATCGTAGTAGATACATTCTGCAGTATGTGCCAAGAACTTAAATATAATATAGAGTTGAGGTCGATACATGTACTTCAAGCTGTATCAAATCTTCGGGAAGTCTTACCACAGTTCTAAATTTTAAATAGTAAATATTTCAAAAATTTCTCATTGCTTTTGTTTATATAGTCTTTAAATAATGAACGAATAAGACTAAAATTGCGTCTATGGTGTGACATTTTACACCTTAACCAATTACGATTATAACTTTAAAACAATCACAAAACACTCAGAAAAAAAAACAATCCACTTTGGGAACCGATATCAAAAATTTAGGACGATTAGGAGGTTAAACCGCCATGTGCAATTCCACTGACAGAATCTAGGAAGTAGGTTATGTTCAATTCAGTTTACTACATTCTTCTTCTTTTGTTCGATAACCAATTGGTAATGGCATTAGCAGTGTTGGTCTTATTTCATAGCAATTATTGTGAACAATATTGTTATTTAACCATAGTCATAACTCTCACTCTTTCCGATTTTAATAACCACTCGTGTAATACAATTTCTCATTTATTAGATAGTCCCCCTCCCGTCTCCGTACGAGTGGTCGCCGGTAACGCGGTCTTATTTGCATATAAATCCCGCCGCTGCCAAATTGGAAAATTATGTAAAGCAGTTTTTCGATTGTTTGGCTCGCTCGCTGGAACGGCGGTTAATTGTGGACGATGTGGTGGCAACGCAATTTTCCACAAGTCGACGTTCGAAACCAAAGTGTAAAAGACTACATGCCAAAAAAAAAATCACTCATAAACTGTGTCCAAATCAACTGCCGCATTGAGCACGGAAAGCTGAAAACCCGTCTTCTTTTCATAATGACTTTGTTCAAAATGACATCAAGTCGCCTATGGACTACGTAAACCACGGAACATAAATTTTGTCACACAAATAACAGCTTTACTTTTATACTTATTATTTTTATTGATAAGTCTCACTTTAATAGAATAAAAGTGCTAAACAATTGTCACGTCCAAGAATCGTAAACCTAATAGGATTGCCCAATCCTATAAGACATACGTTCGCCAAAATTATCGATCGCACGTGGTCGCTTGTGACGTAAGTGAAGTCCTCTAACGGTTTTTTTGTATTCTGTCAATGCGTTTGAAGGCGTATTAGACCGTTCTATTTAACTAGTGAGTAGTGCGCTTATGTTTGTGTTAATTGTATTTCTGTAAAAAAAAAAACTTGGACAAAACAGTATTTTTAAGCTTAAACAGTATTTTTACATTACATTTATATATATTATAAAGCCTCTGATCATTTTTTGAAAAAAATTAGAAAATGGAACTTTTATTTTGAATCCCATCATGGTGATTCGTTTCGAAAAGGGCAAGAGGTGGTAAAAAACTTAGCAAAAAAATATTTAAAACATAAAAGGAATTATCATTTAGTTTAGTTAGAGATTTTTGTAAGCTGAGAACGGTAATTCGTATGAAGTTAAGAAATTTAAAAGCAAAATATAACGTTAGTCTAAAAAGAACATCTTTGCAAGATGATACTCGCAGAAAAAAAATTAGAAAGTATGGTAAAATTGTAAAATAAAGATTTAAGTATATGTAGTAATATGTATTTTTTATATTATCTACATATGAGGGTACATATAAATGCATATTATTATTTACCTACCACCTATAAATAGTTGTTATGTATGCCTAATATATTTTTTGTTTTTTAATATGTTTTTTAATTTCTAGTTTATAAGTATTTATTGATTTTCGTATATTTAAAATGGTAGAATGCCGTAAAACACAAAGTTTTACAAATAAATCGTCTTGTTCGCTAGTTTTATGTATTTATGTGTAACAATATTTAATTAATATATGCATTTCAAGATAATACATATAAGCCAAACTTGATTGCAATAGTATTATTTTTACCCTACCTAAAACCCTAGCCTACGCCACTGTCCAATAATTATTAAATAAGTACTAAAACGATTTAATGTTGACATTAGATGAAAATAACGAGTGATTATCCAAACAAAATGCTATATTAACCACTCAAAATACTCAAAGTCCATCAAAACTCGGGTCAGTTTCAGATTATTTCCATTGGCGCGTTTACATAGTAAACGCTACTACGCCAACCAGCTATACGTTTCTGCGTTATCCCCGTTACGATCTACTCATTACATGACGGTGAAAAATTTTAAAGTTATAAAGTAAATTACGACCGTAATTTTTTCTCCAACGTCGCTTCGCATTTTTCACAAGTCCGTTGAAAAACCAGCGGCTTTTCACGAGTCCTAATTATGCCGTGTGTGTGTGTGTCTATATGGGCGCTTTTTTCTTTGATCGGGCGAAACGTCAAGCACCGCCTGCCGCGTCGGGAAGATCAAAGTCGGCGGGATACAAAAGGAAGTAATTTGCAGTAGTGGCAATGGAAGGCGGGCGAATAAAAGTAGAGGAGGCAATCCCGTCGCCGTACAAAAAGTAAAGCAATTTTCATATTCGCGTTGAAGGGGTAATATACGAGGTAATTCAAATACTGAGAGATGCCAATGGCGGAGGTAGATAGGAGATACGAAGATCATCGGGTTGGGTCTTTAACAAATTGCATTTTATATACTCTAAGCCATATTGGATTTTTAAAGCAAATAATGGTAAAGTGAAAATCTCTAAAGATGACAATTACGTTGCATCATAAATTGTAGGAACTAATAAATGGACGTAATTCGGTGATAAGGTGAGTAAGGTCACGAGGTTATGTTATGTCAACTTTCAAAGACAGCTGTTAAACGCGACATTACAAATTGGAAATTGTCTTTTTCTAATACATTAAAAATAATGATTCTACTGTCTTTACTAGTAAATAATATACTAACGAAATTGTCTTTTGTGATTTATAGTACAGTTTTTGTTTTATCCGTTTATATTCGTGTAGCTGAAAAGTAGCATTGCAAATGAGCTCTCGGTTCAACAATTGTACCAGAACGGGTGGAAAATCATTTGTATGATGAGTTTTAAAGTGTTTAAATCGATTTTCTGTTTAATACGTTGGTTATTTTGAGATGGAGCGTCATGATCGGAAGAAATTATTACAAGAAAATCCCGATATTGATGAAAGTAAACCGTAAAATAGTTGCTGTTGTGTACCGTATGAAATGTTTTTGTAGATATCAGATAAAACTGCAATTAGTATATTAGATCCATTCATTTTAGTCGTAAATAGTTTAATCCAATTAATTCAATTTAATTCAATTTGTTATATCATTATAACTTGAGTGTAATGGTTCAAATTTGAAAAACAGACATCATTGTTTTTTTATATACTTAACTTTAGGTAAAAGATTTTGGTCCTTAAAACTAACACATTTGTTGATTAATCTTTTTAAAAATAGTTATTTTAAAATGACATGCCAAATCTGTCAAGTATGGATTAGATACACTTAGAACACAGACTCCAAGTCAGCAACCTTGAGACAAAGTCTTATAACTAAGGGATTCCAAAAAAATACACGAGCTCTTGTAAAGTTAAGTTCAATATTCCCTTAAGTGCTACTAATTGTTTTAGTTTTGTTTTTATCGTTAAGTTAATTTCATTATGTTAATAATAAGTTTTTTTTTAATTCTTGATTATAAAATATATAAAATTATTAATTGCTTTAATTTTGTTTTTATTTGATTGATCCCGTTTTAATCCGGATTAACTGTCAGGTATAAACGATTTGGCACTCGATATAACGTAGTAACTTAGTTGGCGAGAATTAATAAACCTTGGTTCTCAGATTAACCATGGTGGCTGATTCTGTGGGAAGCATTGCACATGGCACATAGTACTTAGTTTATTCTCTGCAGAATACGCTCTAATCGGTTAAAAACACTTGTCATGGATTTGATTTAGGTTAAGTTGTAATAGTTAGTAATGAGCCTTGTGCGCTTGTTTAAGAGCAGTTATTCTGTGGTAGATGTTACAGTTGACAGCTAAAGGTTGAGGCTACAGGACGAAAAATGAACGTGCACATGTTTTAACACCTTTTTTATTTAACAAACACCGATTGATAACAAAACAAGCATCACACTTACATGAAACATTACATTTGTGGCATGGTTCCTTCGTTTTCGTCATTTACTCCGGCTGAAAGTCGGATGGGACGCGGTGGAAGCGAGGGGTAGTCTTTTTTTTAATGTTTAAGTTAAAACTAGAGATCATTTGCTTATCATACTAAATCATGGAATAAATTATTCACGAAACGCGGCAATGGGCGAGTGTCCCTAATAGATATGCGCAACGTTTTATAAATTGTACGAAGAAGAACTATGGTCAGTTTTCATTCGATATATTCATTAAGGTCCAGCTATTTATAGCTACTAGAGATAAAAAGGCATTGTCTATGCCGTATATGAAGCAAATATGGAATGAATTGTTGGGAAGGTTCATTCAACATGCGCATGCGCGATATTTAAAATTCCAAATCCTGGGGCGATGACAGATCGTCAATAAGTGCGGGGTTTTTTAGGGCCGATTTTTTTCAAAATATGCCTAGATCTTGTTAAACGTTGTGGAAAAACGAGTTAAGTGTGTAGAAATAGCGATTTCGAAAGAAATTGGAGCAAAGTGCAGGTTAGTAGACCAACCAACATTAATTCTCAGCATAAAATAAAAAATCTCTTGTTAAACGGTGATTTAATCTATGATATAATAAATATTGCACAAGCTGATACAGGATACCGATTATGAAGGTTTGATATTTTAATATAAATTTATTTGTCCAAAGAACGCCCTTCGGCTCGATCACCATCGACACCACAAAGTCATTAAAAACAAAATTCAAAAAATGATCACAGAAGTCTCTTACAATAGGTAAAATATTACCATTGCTTTGCGAGATAAATGGCAAGGTCCATAAAATTGATTAGAAGTTCGTCCTCTAATTTTGAGCTCTTTGCAATTACCTCCGCAAACATAATTGTTCCGAATAATTTTAACAGTTGCCAGCAGATTACGATTCCAATAATAAACAAGATGTCCAAGCATAGTTTCGTATTTAACGGGGCAGACATTAAATGAACTCTAAAAATTATTCCTTCTTATCGTTTCCATTGCTAGTCTGGTCGTCTTCCTCCACGCCCACACCGTGCACCTCTTTCGCGTGGTTATCGAGAAACGACTGCTCCGCGAAATTCTCCGAACAGTTGGGACACTTGATCAACTGGTGGAGCCTCACGTGGACTCCCAACGCGAGTTCCGTAGCGAAACCTCTGCCGCAGGTCTCGCAGAAAACTTTGCACTCCTCCTCTATGCCATGCTTCGATTTCAGGTGACACTTTAGCGTCACTTTCTGCCTGAACCCGGAGTCGCATATCGTGCAGATGAAGGGCGCCTCGTTGGTGTGCTGGCGGACGTGGGTCCTTAAACCGTGACGGCTGGCGAACCCCTTGCCGCAGTATTCGCACACGTGAGGGCGTCGTTTCTCGTGGATCGACCTGATGTGGTTTTGGAGGAACACTGGGACATAGATGAGTCAAATCAAACGTATGTATAGCATTTCCAATATTTGGTCATAAATTATTAATCAAATATAAAGGTCAATTTATGACAGATATCGGCTTAATAAAATTTTATTTGGAAAACAATTAAAGACAAGAAGACATTACTGACTATGGAAAGGGCGTTAAGCACACAGGTACTTTCCGACATTGGTTGGTTGTTCTTTTTTTTTTTATAGGAGATAGGAGTAATTCAGGAACCTTAATGATTTTATTCAAAATTTTAAATAGCGTACAGATATCAAAAAACCTTCTTCTACTTTCTGAAGAAGACAGATTTAATTGTTTCATAGTTTATTATATATTCAACTCACAACCTACGTCTTAGAAATTTTTTTAGGTTTTGTTTATGTACTGGCTTCAAATACAGTACTTCCGTACTCTAGGATGGAGGGAACCAACATATTAGACCTCTCTAATTGTGATGACATTATTAAACCCTCTCATGGTGCGAATCGCAAACCCTAGCAATATCATTGCTCGATTAGTAATTATATCAATATGGTTGTCAAGGTTAGCTCGCTGACTAGTCATATGCCAAGATGTTTCCTAGGGCTTGCCTTTTCAAATGCAATGAACTTGTTTAATATATAGTTATAGCCATCACCGATTTCGTATTCATTATTTAGAATCTGGGTATTACAGAGTGGCCTAGAAAAATTTTAATCTTCTTTATTTGCACTGTCGAATCAACAGAAGTACCTACTAACAAGCATGTTAAAAACACTCTGTTTCACCAAAAGTAATTTTTTTTTATTAATTTTCTATTCAGCTTTAATAATATACTCTTTACTGCCGCTGCAGTACCCTTTGTTTTCTGAATTATTTAATGTACCCTTTACGAGAGCCCACAGGTAATATTCCACTAAAGAATAATATAATGATGAAGTCTTAACGACACACAAACTAGATTAAATAATCCTAATAAAATAATTTTGATATCGAAAATAGGTCCAAAAACATTAAAATAAATAAATAAAAATGCACCACCTCTGTATGTATCTCTAGACCATCTTTATCTATTGATTTGTACTATATTTTAAACCTAAAAGCAATTAAAACGTTTTTTTATTCTATATTTCATACTATAAACGTTACGCAACCAGATATATCACCTCCTTAATGTGATCAGTTATATTTTAGCATTCCAATGTTTTCTGATGTAGTCTCAATTACAGAACAGCAATAATAGTCGTCTGTGGTCTGAGCCAAATTGTATATAATTTGACGTTACCCGCAAGTATTTTATGGTCTGTGCTTTCTAATGCGGTTGTATCGTTTTGTTTTTTTTTTTATTGTAAAAAAGCAAAAATATGTTACTTTTTAGTCGGAAAAACAGTTTCGGATATTCGCCAACTAGTTTTAACCAGTTTCTAACTTGCTGGCTCAACGAACATGCTTTCATTTTAACGCGTTGCAAATATCTGATTTCGTTTAATTCTACGTTTAATATTATTCATAAAATAACGTATAGTTCTTGTACTACGTCTGCTTTTGCTTATTTTTGTGAGAAAACTGACTTTGTGAAAGGAAATGGTGTTTATGCCTCTATACTGTGAAGTTTGCAAAGAACTTGCAAAGAAGAAATTTTTAATATTGTTACTTAGGTTGGTTACCATAGCAACACTGCTAAATGCCTATATTTGAATCATAACACCAATTTTAGCACTCAAAACTCGTGACTCACTCTTTTGAAAAAACGCTTTTCCACATTCGGTACACTTGAAGTTCCTCTCGCCGCCGTGCGACTTCTTCCGATGCAGCAAAAAGTTGGACCTCCTCCGAAACGATTTGCCACACTGCTCGCAAACATATTCCGTATCGCTTTTCTTATGGCAGTAAAACATGTGACCCCTCAAGCTTTCAAAATTTTTGCACATCGCGCCGCACACGTTGCAAGTGGCCGGGTCGCTGGAGTGTATCATCATGTGTTTGTACATGTTGTCCGCGCGGAGACTCTTCCCGCACAATTCGCACGTTTTTTTGTTGTGTTTGGCCAAATGCAATCTGTAATAGGGCCTGTTCTTGAATACCAAATTGCACTCTTCACATTTCAAATCTTTAGTTTTGCCCTGGTTATTGCTGGGTTTAAGAGAGCAATCCGGCACAGTTTTATCACAAATTTCTGGTTGCATTTTTGCTACCGAGACATTGCGTTTCTGCAAGTTATTGCTGCCTTCGGGTTTTAATACCTTTTTATTCAGTCCATTAACTTTACAAATGTACACTTCATTCAACTGTCCCTTTATTTTGTCCACGTCGTCCACATTGGGGACTTTGTGCGTGTTCACCAAAGGCTGAAGACATTTCATAAACTCGTTTTTATTTTTCAGTAGTATTGGGTCCTTATTTTCCTCGTTGGGTGCAGAATCTAAACTTACACTAGCTTTCGTGTCCACTAATACCAACTCGGGCTCTATTTTAACCTGCACGGCGGGCCCTATCTTGGTATCTTTCGCTAATTTCGCCTTTAGAACCTTCTGGGAATTGATAATTTTTTTTCGTATAAGAAACGCGAATCTTATATCTTGGGCGCATTTTGTACACGAAATTTCCGGCAAGTGATCGTTGGCTCTTATCTGCAAAATGTTTTGTGTCAACAAACCCGTAAATGAACAATTTCAGTTTGCCTACTTTCAGAGAGGTTAACAACTCGACGACAACGGAGAAATTGTTTTTGTAAATGTTTATCTCAGTATCTGTCTCGCGAAGACAGAACCTACATATTTTCGCCGACATTTTCCTGAGTAATCATTTAATAATACATCGTTTAACGATTTACAAAACACCCCAATGTTGTTTACTAAATAAACAGGCTTAGAATAAGAGAGAGAAAATACAACATGTTCTTGGCTGGGCAAGATAGTGGTGGCCATTCGCCCATTTTCCAGCATTCTTTAGGTAACTTATCCAACACGTAAAAAAAAACTATAATCAACAATTGTTCTCAAGTGTCAAAAAAGATTTTGACCAGTTACAAAAAACGGTCATCCCCGCCCATCCGCCCTTCAATCGGCGTGGACGACAAAAACAGCGGGATCGACAACAATTACACACTTTAAAACTTTCAATAAACACTTAGGAAACTAAAACCACACGATCGAAACCGATATCAAGTTTTTGGGAAAATCGCAAAGGATTCTGCTGGGAGCGAGCGGAAGTTAAGTCGTCATGTGCAATGCTCGTCTAGAACGATAAAGATATGAATTTTACAACACGGATAAAAAATGGAGTCAAGTCAAGTCAATTATGCGTTTCACAAAAAATGTTGGGCGCAACTGCTAGGATCATTTGCCCATTGCCGACTTCCGTCGAGGATTTTCGCTTCTGGTCAATTGATCACCACGTACAAAGAAGAAAAATAACCAATAATTTGCTCAGCTAGCAAAAAGCGATTCTGACCGATACCAAAAAAAATCGGCTTCCCCCCGCTTCCACCGCGGACCATCCGGGCCCATCCGGCCTCCATACCGGCGTGAACGGAGAAAAACGACGGGGCCGACGACGATTATCACTTTAAGACGTACACTGAACACTCAAAACACTAAATCCACACCGTGGAAACCGATATCAAACTTTTTGGGACGAATACATGGGATTCTGTCGGGAGCGAACGGAGGTTAAACCGCCGCGTGCAATGCTCCACCACAGAATCATAAAAAATGGAATTTTTGTTGACATTTAATTTCTTCTTTAACTTCCCATGAATATAGGCCAAATGGCAGAGTTATTGGCCCAAAATAGATTATATTCTTTTTAGCGTAATTGGTTGGTTATTGAAGGCTTGCTTCACGAATAGTAAAAAGAAGAATAAGAAGAAGATAATCTTTATGATTCTATGGATAGCATTACTGTTTCGTTCTACTTTTGGTATCTGTTTCATTGTGTGTAGTGCACGTTCTGAGTGTTATCTCGGTGCTTATGGCCTTTTGGGTGCACATTAGGTCTTAGATTTGTTCGTGGTTGGTGATTCTGTAATTTGAATCATGTTAGTTCTCATATTTCCAATGTTCAAAACTGTTATTTTGGTAGCAGTTATTATAGTTTAAGATTCAGACTACTGGGATGTAGATTTTAAAGTATTAAAAATTTTCTACGGCCGTTGGTTAGGCGCTTGTTTTTTGGTTTTACATCTGAAATTGGGAGTTTTTGACAAGGTTCTGGATGCAGTTAAACACGAAGAATTAAAAAATAAATGCCTTTACTAATCCTATTAACTCATTAGGTCAAACAAAAAAAAAACAGTTGGAAAGGATGCAACGGGTGTTATTGAGGCCCTAAGGAGAAAATTCCATTCATTCAAAAAGTCACGCAACACAAATTAAAGCTTGATGTAACGACGGAGATCACAAATTCACATGAGCGGCAAAATATAAGGTATCCTATGCGCGGTTAATAACTGTTCCTAAAAATATATCTTTGATCTGATAACTATAAAATATGGCACGAAAACTTAAAACGATGTCACCAAGGCCTCCACATATCGTTGACGTCCTGATTGTCTTTCGCGGCACTTGCTCGGTATTCTCTGGGTTCCTTGGGTTGTTCGGCTCGTTGAAAATCACCGGTGGGCGGGGCAAAAGACGTCGACGGGTGAGCGAGCGTCGACGAAGGCACCACGTGGTGATTTACCTTGAGGATCTTTGCGGGCCTGGTGAAACCGGTCGAACCCTCTTGTGGAACGGTGCTCAGGATACCCTGATGCTGCTGTTGAACCTCGCAGAAATTCCTCTTGACGCCTCGCACGCCGGGTACCAGGTTTTCCTCGAAATGGGCGGAGTCATCCTTTTGTTGGGCCTGCTTGTGCCGCTCCGCTTGATTGGTGATGATGCACAGGGGTTCCGAAAATTTCTTCGCCTGTTCCACTTTCCTCTCGTGGTACTTGTGGATGGGAAACTTCATCGTCTTCACCTCCATCGGAGGCACGAACTGGTGTTTCTCGCTGGGCACGGTCGAAGAGATTTGAGGCACCTGGTGATCTTCGCCGGGGTAGGAGGGTTTCGGCTTGGGCAGGCCGGATTTGACCGGCCGGAAACCCCTCGGAGAGCGACTCCTCGCCTCCGGAGGACTAACCGGAGGACTGAGCGATTCCGTAGTGTGTTGGGGGGTAACTGTGACGAACGCGCTGGGCCGCTGGATCGGAAAGTAAGGCAAGTTGCTGGAGTTGGGCACAAGGAGTGCGAGCTCGCCGGTAGGCAACCTACAATGACCGGATGTTGATTGACTCCCGGAAAATTCCGATCGTCAAACGTCCGTACCTGCTCGGTATCAATTGTATGCCCTGCGGTATTTGTATTCTGGGGTTGTTGTTTTGGTCGTCTGACGCCGAGTCGTTTGGCGTCTGATTTCCAGAAAAAAGACCGCCGGAAGAGCCGAAAGGGAAGTTACCCAGAGTGGGAGCCGCGAACTGAGCCACTTGTTCGAGGCCGTTCATGCATTTTTGCAGGTGAGACGATACTCTCTGCTTGAGCGACGCGTCTGTGGTCTCCGATCTGTCCATAAACCTTGAAATTAGGTCAATCATATCGATGGTTTCTTGGGTTAACAATGCCTAGAGTGCAGTCGTATTAAGAAAATATGAACTTAGAGTCAAATTTGAATTTTACACAACTGATGAAGATAATGTTAAAAAGTTTTTGTTAGAAATGTAAACTTAAAGAAACAAAGTGACTAACAATGGAAAGCCCTAAGTCCTTTTCTTGTAATTTTTTGTATTACCTTTTTTTTGTTTTTTCCTGTATCCTCTTTTTTTTCCAACTATAGGAAACTTTTTCATTTAATCCGTTTAAGGATCGTACATGATACGCAAGTATCGATTTGAATATTAGTGTCAATGTCAAGGGGTTGAACTTGAAGTTTTTGTAATTGTTTTTAACTCCTTGTTTGCAATCATTAGGCTAAATTTTATGATACTTTCTGTATTATTTTGTTCCGAAACAATTATTATTGTGTGAAAAAGTGTTTAAAATAAATGTTCTGCGAAAAACCATGTACACGGAAAGTTAACTTGTGTTGGTAATATAAAAGGAAGATGAAGATCTGACTGAACCTGCATTGCTAATCAATAACCTTGAAATAAACATGTAAGGCGATTTTTCGCGTTTCTTTAAGTAAACGAGAGCAAGTTTGTTCCCATTTTCTAGCGAAAAAATATGTTAACTAAGGCAACCTACTGTGATGTGACGGATTTGCCCGGGCTTGGTTTGAATTTCAGTCAGCTGTTTGTGCCTTGATATCGAATGTTTTAATTATTTGCAACACACAAAAAGTCGGAACATAACTAGCCAACACTAATTCAAGTGTAGGATTGAACGGGTATTAATGTCATTGATGTTTGAATTAAGTGTTAAGTCTTGGGTTAACCGGCTTCTGATGTTCATCAAGGACCGAATGCTAGAGGCTGTCAGTTTTCAAGATGGCTCAGCAATGTTATCTTTTAAGGAGTGAAACATTTATTATTTTTAATAATAAGGTAGTTATATTATTTATTATCTAACAATTACAACTTACTTGTCAATTTCACGAGCGCAATCGTTGAAGCCGGTTTTGAATTTCCTCAGGACCGTGGGATCGGTGGCGACTGCGATGGCGAGCTGTTGACGTTGGATATTTTGCAAATGCTTGACCGCCATTTCAAGTATGTCCGCTTTTTCCAGTTTGGAGTGACGGGCGGGCTGAAAAATGGCGTTTTTTGAGCTCTTTTGTGTGTCAGAATTCAGTCGATCAGTTTTCGTCCTAGACCAGTCGATTTTTGGATTTGTTTTTTAGAACTATTTAAGTTTACGCCTATACAATCCAATTAACGGTATCATGCCTCCCCCCCCCCCCCAAAGTTTTTTTTTTAATGCAGAATAAACATCTGTTGGGATGGGTTGTACCACTGTCCTGCGAAGGTATTTGACTTAAAAAGTCAAAGCAATAAATGCACTATATTTTTGGTAGCACAATACAATAATAGCATGTAATTGGTATTAGGATATAATATACGAAATGTTCTCTTCTTTCTGGTAGGGCTGGGTGTTTGTTGAAATTTTATTATTTATTTGGTTTGCTAAAAGTTTCCCTGTCAGGTATAAAAAAACATTTTGTTTTATGTTGACGACCTACTTCACAGCCATCTAAGACATAAATTTTAAATTATTTTATTTTTGAATGTTGCTTTTATAGTTAAAAGCGCATATATGTCAAAAACTATGGGATTTGGGTGTTGGATATAATATATAAGAAATGTGTACAATTTTTAGGGGATTTTATTAAGCGTATAATGTACAAGGTGTCGAATACCCTGTATATATAAAATATATCTTGCAAATAGGTTACTATTTTTTGACGTTTTTTCCCAAATTTTAAATAAAAAAAGGGGGGAGCATTATAAATGATCACCCGGTACAGTGTGTCCCATTTTTTATGGTTTTGCGGCGTACCTACTTTATTAATATGGACTTTTTGGGCCTCTTATTGTTTGAATTGATGAGAAATAACGGTTTTCCTTGTTAATCGATAATATTCGGCGTTACCTACGGTGGCTGCTAAAGTTTAAAGCTTGGCGGTGTTTTTAGTAGTAATGACTCAAAAATAGCAAATGTTTTGTACTTGAACTGTCGCCTTTTATATATTTTTATTATATACGATATAAATTTCTATGGTCTTTAATTATTATTAAATTAATTTGTAACCAATAAAGCGACATTTTTGAAATACAAAATTGTTATTTTTTTAATATAACACCTTGTACGTCTTTTAATAATTTTATTAGGCTTGTTATGAGCTTTTTAAAGGCAATACAAAACATATATCTTTAATTTCACTTTTTTTTATGAGGAAAAAAAGGTGTTTATTTTCCTCATACGCCTTAATAGTCAAACAGTCATGACATTTCATAATTATCATTTTGACTCTTGACTACATTGGCAAAGAACTTTTTGTATGTAATTTATCTAAAGAAAAAAATATGTATTTTCCATGGCATTTTTACAAAACCAATAACAAGCCTAATAAAAGTTTAGATTACATATCAAAATTTGAGAGTGTCATGAGAAAACTGACTACGCCACTGGAATCTTATCTTTGTGAAAAAAATCCTATCGGGGCTAGTTTTCGCCGTTACACGCTTTTAGATCTAAGCGCAGCGCCTCTAGTGGTAATTCGGAGAAGCTCATTTACGAAGACGAATTTTTGGCCGACTTTGAGACCCGTTTCCATCTTTTTATCACAAAACCATATCGCTACTAGATATATAGGGACCCTGCTTATGCTGATAATACAGGAATTTTCGAAGCTTCGATGAAAAAAAATTTGGATGTGCCCAGATGTGTGGAGATGTCATTAAAAAAGAAAATTATCCAAAGTCCAGGTTAGTTGATGAAATTTAGAAATATATATCACTTTTGCCGTACTACCTTTTATATTTCGGGATTTGTAATAAAAAACTATAAGCTACCAACAAATATGACTTAATTGTTTCTCAAAATATTCACCCTGATGATCAATACTCTTTTCCATTCGATAAAACCAATCATCGAACCACTTTTCCCACATCGAATCGGGCACCTCCAAATCGCTTCTTCTGGTGTCAAAAATCGTCGCCAACGTAATTTATTCTTAATGTATGGGAATAAAAAGAAGTCATTAGGTGTTAAATCAGGACTATATGGTGGATGGATTGTCTGAAAGAACCTAACCTCAAAATGTCAAACTTCGCTATAAAAACGTTAGACGCCAGATGGCAACTCTAGTTTAAGGAAATCCCCAAATATAAAAGGCAGCCCTCGTCTAAAAGCTATATGAACAAGACCGTTGATGCAATCATCTTACGTCTTTATTCATGGCTTCCAAGATCAGGTGCTTGATCTCGTTGAGGCAGTTGTTTATCCGAGCGCGTCTACGTTTCTCCATGATCGGCTTGTGGGTTTTCCTGAGCTCCGCCTTCGACATCGTGCTGCCGCCATGTTGCTCCTGCATGCCGAGGGGTTCCAGTTCGTCTTCACTGATCGGCATCGTCAGACTGCCAATTAAGGGAAACGTACGGTTAAGAATATTCGAAGTTCAGAGATCTTTGTCTCGGATATATTTTTTACAATGTCAAAACTTCTAAAATATGGTCTGTGGATAGATCAAGACATGGATTTGGGTGTCGGGATTTAGAGGGAATGTCAATTTGGTTTAAATAAATGTGTCCGAAGATACAATAGTAAGGAGACACACGAGAAGTCCCGATAAAATGGCTAAATAAACAGTTTAGAAAAATGCAGCAGTGTGTGTTCCTGCTAATGCTAGTATTTAAAAAGAAGCGATCTGATGAGGAATTTCAATGAGGTACTGAAATCCCGGACACAGTTACATTACAATTGGCTCACATGGCGTGACGAAAAGCGACTACTCTCGTTACTAGATAGCAATAATCTGGAAGATCTAGAGTTTATCAGAGAAAAACACATTTATCTTCTTCAGTAGCCTGCACAGACGTCGCATCGTTTGCAGCTTCTTTAAACTAAAGTTTGCGGCTGTGCGTATAGCTGAAAATGCTTTTGGTGCCAGAATATGACCTCCTAATCGAAATAGGTTTGAATCATCTGTTTGTCCCATTTTTTTGCAAATACGGTGAATCAAAATCGTGACAATTCCGCGGAACGAGAAGATGTTGAGGTTGCAGTAGTGCAACCGAAAGTAAACTTATTAGGGACATTACTTCAGAAAAATTGAAACAGTCTATTAACGAGTCATCCAAAAGCAGCCAAACCGCTTCCTGAATACTGCCTATTAGTAGTCCGTATAAAGAGGACTCGACAGATTCAGACGACATCCGAATAAAATGAAGAATTGTGCTTGGACATATTTGCACATAACACTGGGCTGGACTTGAGAAAGGAGAATTTTACTGTGAATTTTGTTGGGGTACAAATAAGTTTTAAATGAAAATGAAGAGGTTTCACAGGTTTGTTAGGTTTTTAAAGAACTGACTTGAAAACTATATAATTTAAATTTAGGAACTTATGACAATGGCTTCTAAATATTTTTTTACCGTGACATTTGATAAATAAATCCTTTCTTTACTATGACAATTAACAAAGGTTTGGAAAACATAAATATCTGTTTCACCAAAATAAAGAAACTAAGTTTTAGTAAATATAACCAGGCCAAACTTGCTGCAATTCCAGGGAACAATTTAATAACATAAAAATTAACACAAATTGATACTATGCAGGTGTCAATGTCAATGTAAATGTGTCAACCACAGGCCAACTTTAATTCTAGGTTAGTTTCGCTACAACTGGATGCTCATAATATGCACTGCAATGGTGTTGAATTTGATCTTATGAAAGATAGATATCAACAGAATAGGAACCAGTAGACAACATCGGCAAAATTAATAAGATAAGAATAGAATTATACATACATGGTCAACACCAACCAAAAATTTTTTTGCCGACAACTTTATTTTCACGTTAGTATGGAACTTGTTTGGGATGTTTGGGGGATGAACCATCAGTCGTTTGTTGTTGTTGTGCCAACTATGGGGGCCGTTTGAGGATAATCTTCAAGCTAATTGTTGTGAAACAACCTCTCAGCGTTTTGAGGTCATTCATTATAATTATTTTCTTTGCAAAAGTAACAAATTAAAGCACAGTCTGCAAGAATATCAAAAATCGATTCCTCAGATAAATATATTCATTCATCATTTCATCCGAAACTGACGACATTCATTTTAGAAGAAAAAATAAGCCCATGAAATTGTGTACCAGTTTAATGCAAATAGCTATATATCAGTAAATTCTTTTTGAACCATGCAATTGAATTTTAAAAAGAGCTAAATACATACTAAAAAACGTGATATGATTTGTAGCTATGCTTTAATTACAGTTGATAAAATACTTAATCTTGGGAAACTACCCTATCCTAGAAACTATGGGAAATGGAGCCAAAAGTTAAAAACAAAAATTAATTGGGGTATTACAAACCTTCAATTTATTTTAATGTTGTATATACAGGCTGTTTCATTTTTCGTGGTCGAGTATCAATTTTCTTATTTTAAATGGATATTACTTCATTTTTGAATTCTATACAAAATTCTAGACATATTTTGTGTATAATATCCTACACCGCCGATAGGTACCAACACCAGTGAAACACCCCGTATATTATTTCTTTACCGATTAAATTTTTCTGTATTTGATATATATTGATTGATATAAATCGTAGCCATTTTTCATAATTTTTGCAGTATGAAAAGTAATAAAAGTGACAAATTTTTGGAAAAAATGCTTTAAAAGTGTATGGTGTTCAATTATTTACCTTTTTCCACATTTTTGCCACTACCTTATCTCAGTTAAATACAAAAGTTAATTGGGGTATAACAAACCTTTGATTCATTTTAATTATGTATGTACAGGCTGTCTCATTTTGCCTGGGCGCGTTTCAACTCTCTTATTTTAAATGGAACGCCTGGTATACTACTTCATTGTTCAATTCTATACAAAATTCTAGACATATTTTGTACATAATGTCCTATACTTAGGTCTAACCGTTTTTGACATTTTTAATTTTTTATGCGAAAAAGGATTTTTTCATTCGGAAGCATTTATTGTTTCATTTGAGTAAGTTTTGTTGTCGACAAAGAACTGGAATTACGGATTTCATAAGAAATTTCGATACATATTAATACAGGGTACGCGAAAAAACCTATACCTCAACACAAACAAGTCTCCCATTTTATTCAAACTTGACACGCGCACAAGAACGGTTTGAAAACTGTAAGAAGCAAGTTCGTCATTTTATAGCAAACAAACCTAGTATCGGTTGAATAAAATTGAACCACAGATTCTTGGTTTGCTTCTTTCCAAGGAGATCACGATCTATTTCTCTATTGACGTCAGCAACATCTCCAGATTTGAACGAATGTGAATTGTCTTTCGCATATGCGTCTAGGGACTTTTCCGTTTGACAGTTTCGGTTGCTCAACTAGAGATGGCGCTGGCGAACGGAGCTGTACGAAAGTGGCCACGGCAAGGGGTTTAGCGGCACGTGGGACGTAGTGTCAGGTAGAAAAATGCCGGCTCGGACGCTCGAAAGTCTAATTTCGCCGGGCTGCTTCCATTACCTCGAAGTTCACGGGGTGGTCTTAAAAAAGGACCAAGTTTTTTAAGCCGAAGGCTTCGGTTATGAACGCGCGCCGGGTTTTACAATGTTGTCTCCTTAATTACAAACTAGAACCGCGCTAATAAGTTGCAGCTAGTTATAGTTGCAATATAGTGTTCAAGTGGTGCCCTTTTTATGAAAAAAAAAAAAACGAAACGCTTGCTGCGTGTTGCCGATTATAAATGAGACGAAAATACTCAGAAAACCGTTACAACTTATTGATAAGTATCCTGGCAATATAGTCCATGCGTTTTCTGCATTGGGCGGTCGCAAAACAATGATTTTCATAATAAATCATCAGTTACATAATTAATTGGGGATGGTAGCAAAAAAATTTTTCAAAAACAGCAACTGTTTAGATATCCGGAAGGATAATCTTAATTTATAGCGACTAATAATACATTGCTCAAAGCTCATACTCCAATTTTTAATTTGATTGTAATTGTTAAGAAAAACTGGAAATTTTTGACAATATGAAACCGCGATTTTGCACACAGTTTACCACCTATAAAATAAACTTTATATAACTTCACACTTAAAGAAGACTAAGGAAATAGTAACACTTACACTCTGCTTAGAGCCTTTTTAAGGAACGAGTCATGGAATATTTATAGTTTTTTTTTTCCTTTTTCCTAAGTTTATAATATCAATTTTTATTTTTACTTTTTTTGTTTTCTTCGTATTGAAAATGTATTTTTTGTTTTCGGGAAATAATAAATAAATAATATATTTCACTTATATTAGTTTGTTCTATTGAGGTTTCTTGTAATTACTGTCGCAATTAATGAGACTTATTTACTGGCGCGTGACGTCATGAATTACTTACAGTGACAGAAGTTAACGGAAACTTTTGGCTATATAGCTCGTACGTCCCCTATATGTTCGAGTCCAAAACTGCGGTTTTACACACATTTTACAACCTTCAAACCCACTTTACTTAGCACTCAAAAAAGATGAAGGAAATAGCAAGGATAGTTGACAACGTAATATTGTTATTTTTGTTTTGTTTGTATTAAAAATCCACTCAGTTTAACCTTATATTGACTGGCCCTTTTTATGGAAAGCGTATTTGTTTTTGGCGATTGGCTGGAGAAGACGTGGCCAAAACTAGCAGAAAAGTATCCTGCTGACGACATTTTTAATGCTGACGAAACTGGTATTTTTTACGAAATGACGCCAGATAAAACTCTCAAATTTCGAAGCGAAGATGTGTGGGTGGGAAACTTTCTAAAGAACGTATAACAGTGTTAGTAGCTGCCAATATGAGTGGAAGAGAAAAAAGAAAGGTAGTCGTAATTGGAAAATCATTTTCCGGCCACTTACAAGGCAAACAAGTCTGCACGGATGACATCGCAAATTTTTGTAGAGCAGAATTAAAGGGGAAGCAGAATTAAAGGGGAAGAAAATGTTACTTCTCTTAGATAACTGCCCTGCACATCCCCATATTCCAAATCTACGGAATATTGAATTGGCCTTTCTTCCAGCCAAACCAACAAGTGTATTACAGCCGATGGACCAGAGCGTAATAAAAAGCCTTAAGAGTCGATACAGGAAAAACATTTTAATGGAAATGATCGACTCCTAAGACAAATATTCCATTAATATGCAGTCAACTTTATTAGTAAAGCTTGACAAGAGGTGACAGCAGAAACCATTCAACACTCCTATGGTCATGCAGGACTTATTACCGAGACAGAACGCGAACAGGACTTGTAAGATGATCAGCCACTAAGGGAGTAGATAAAGCAGTTTCAAACAATTACGTTTACAAGTGAGGAGTTGCAAGATTTTCTGGTGATAGATGAGGATTTGCGTACAACAGCAGACTTGATAGAGGAATCCATATTACAACAAGCAAGAAAGGGCGAGGAAGAGCACCAAGAGGATGAAGAAGATGAAGAAGTTAATCTGGGACCACTCCAACCATTCAGCAAGCCCTGTATTCAGTTAAGCTGCTAGAGAATTTTTTTATGTAAGCCTTTGTTAGGCAAATGTCTGTGGGATTTGTTGAACGTATTCGATTTACAGGTGTATGTTCAGAGTGTCCTTTGCGGTTTTGCTTTTACAATTTTCAATTTTTCATTATTTTTTAGTTTCTTATAAAAAAATTTATTTTACTATTACAAATATTTCCATTTGCCTAAAACGTGCTTAGGCAAATACCGTTTGGCTATTCAAATAGCATTTGTCTAGTTACTTAGCACCAAGCCTATTTGCCTAGGCAGCTAGCATTTGCCTAGACAAATGCCTAGAATTTCAACTTTAATAACCCCTGATAGACTTCTTCCTTTGCGCTCATTCCCCAAGTTTTAAATTTTCTCGGGCAGATTCGTTCTTATTTAAATTATTTTAAATCTAATAATTTATTGTTCAGCTCTCAATTCTCAAATGATTTGTACTTTCAACTAACTAATCAAGCAATGGTCCAGCTATTTCGTCGCCTACAAGGGCCCGAGAATAGAGCCTTGCGGAATACCCGAACGCGAAAAATTAATATTTCACGGAACTTACGGTTTCTGCCTCACCGGCGACGTTGGGATAATCCTTAAATCAAATCGCAAAGCACTGCTAACTCTGTCGTCCGAAAACGGCGACCGATAACCGAAAAAACTCCGTCACCGAATTCCGTCGCCGGACATGGTAGTCCGTCACTTGACCTGGTACAAATGACGTGCAATTATCAAAAACTTCCGATATACATTCCGATAGATCGTGGGAATCTACCCCCACCCCTTTGGTGGGCCGGTGCACTCTTCTCTTTCTTGCGCGCTGCAAGGTGGTCCGTGTGAAATGCCTTTAGTTCGGATGGACTTTCCCACGAGCAGGGCCGCACTCGCTCACCGCGCCCGAGATCCCTAATTGGATCGTCGCGAAACACGATAAGGAAATGTTCTGGTAGAGTGCTTTCACAAATAAGCGGTTTTCGCTTATCGAATGCTTGCGTATCGGTATGCTGTACGTGGGCAATGTAAAAGGATGTAGTGGCATGAAAAGTTTATAATTAATTTTATGAAATATGTTAGAACAAGCGTATAAAATGCCAGTTCACCGAAATTGTTTTTTCGACTACTGACGAACTCGACTCTCTGCACATCCAAAACGGATTGGCGTCGTATCTTTGACAGATAATATAGCTGGTAGGTGGTTCAATGGCTTCGTCGTCTTTTATATTTTTATAGTTTGAAAATAGCAAATGAAAGCAAAGCAAGTGTGATACTTTAAATGATGTCATTGTACATGTGAAATTTACGTTTTTTACTTAATTGTTTGATAATGGAAAATTTCTGAGATCTAAATATTGGAATAAGTGGCTTTTAACAATTGAAAATGAACATTATGAAGTCACAGGTTTTCGGTAATCTGCTACAAAGATGTCAAATGTGCTTTCGTTGTTCGAGAAAACTTTGTTTGGTCAACAATTGTTTTTCTTCGACACACTCAAAAGTCAAAAAGAAAATTATACCCCAATAATACCTTATAAAGAGGTAAGCCAGGTTTAAATTTTCTCTCTATTGTATTGTATTGTATTTCACTCTCTATAAAATTGACAGTTGTTGACAATTCTTGTTGACAATACACTACTTACTCGTATGTCTGATTTCAAAGCCTCCTTCGACTGATACAACTCAAGAAAAGCAAGAAAAAGCAAAACATGTTCCAGTATTTAGTTGTCTTCACCTGTATGGCCGTTAGATATGTAAGAATTTTATGTGGAAGCCATATTATACAATACAACGATAAATTAGTTATCTAACATAGAGTTTTGACAAATAGAAATTAGTGGAAAATTAACGTTTACCCAATGGAATTATTCAACAAATGGAACAAAAGAAGGCAATAATAGTAATGAAGTAATAATAATAATTTACATTTTCGCAAACCAACACAGATACATTCACCGACATGACAGTAAGAATTGACAAACGTCAGGGCGTGGGAAATATATCCGGAAACATCCGATTGCTCCCAAACCCGACCGTTAAAATCCCCGGAAATGTCCGAAGTGGCTGGGATTCATGGCAAACGAAACTGACGTGGTAAAGTGACGCTTCCTGCACGCTAGATTGGTGTGTAGTTATGTATTTTACAGAAGGGAACGGTATTTGACTCACGAGTTTATTGGACAGCAGCGGAGCGCAGCCAAGCGAGTTTTTAATAAACGAGTGAGTTAAAAAGTTTACCAGACGTATTGCATACTATACTGTCAGAATTGACAAACGTCAAAATTCAAAGCGTGGGAAATATCTCCGAAAACATCCGATTGCTCTCAAATCCCGGAAATGTCCGAAGTGGCTCAGATTCATGGGAAACGAAACTGACGTGGTAAAGTGACGCTTCCCGCCCGCTAGATCGGTGGGTAATTAGGTATTTTACAGGCGGGAGTAGAAAAAGGTGTTTTATCAGCGTATTTATCAGAAAAATCAGAAACGCTTAAATCATTGTTGCGGAGTGCAATATCGCAAATATTTAAAATTAACAACTTCGTAAAGAAAAAGTCAGTATAGGATATAAAGCAAAGAAATTGAGAGCACTAAAAAAATGGATATTAATAAATTCTTAGCGGAAGCATGGTTATTGTTACAAAATTTTTGCTGTTTATGGCTTATATTGGGGAAGAAATGATTAATATATTAATGGACGAAAAGAAAAACCATGCCTTTGGTTAAAATTTCAAGACTGAAAACAAATAAAGCAAGATATTATATCAAAAATTCATTATAATAATTCCAGTTCCCAAAATCTGGCATTGAAACATAATTTTCAAATACTTTGCTTAAACATGAACAATGATAATAGTTTTACGTTTAATATTAATAATACGTGAAAACTAATGTTTTAATAAATATTAGTAACGATTTCCCTTAAAAATTTAATATTTTGTCTATTGTTGAAAAAATATTACGTAAATAATATAAAAGCCGAAAGTCCATCGGTGGCCTGTAAGAAAACGGCAATGTCGACGGATGGTGGAAATCGTCCCCGCCCGAGGATCACAGTTAACTCCCCTGTTTCAGTAGTTGTTTAGGTAAAACAGCGGCGCGGGGCAAAGGACGGGTTGTCGGCAACATAGAGCCCGACATATACCTGCACAATGGGCCAAGCGACTCTCGTCAAAATGCATTGGTCGCGTACAGGGTTCCCACGTCGAATCCAGGGCCGGCTTTTTGTTTACAAACACGTTCGTCGACTTTGGAAGCGTGTAATCGGTCATGCATCCACGATCGATGTCGCAATTTGAGCAATAAGCACACGAAACGAGATATACTAGGAAACCATGTTAAAAAGAACCGCTTCAGTATTATTTATTTATTATTTATAATTGTAAGGTAGTCTAACATAATAATCTATGTTACACGACAATCAGAGTACAAACTAATAACATAATAAGACTAGATTCTGCGAAATTATTACTCTTAACTGTCGTTAAAAATTTAAAATTAGCAAATCATCCATGATCTATGCTTACATTAGTTTTCTGTGTTGAGGTTTTTCCAAAAGGTTTGTAAAAAATATGTATGAAATTTTAATTAGTATAGGACTTATTCAACGAGGTTGCTTTCGAAAAATCCTCACTGGGCGGGGCAAGTTCGTAGCTTCTAACGCGAAAGAGCTTTTTATTATAAAAGGAAACAACTTCGCGGATTCGTGTGGTAAAGGGTAAAGGTAGGGGTGTGGTAAATGGTAATTTAATTGTCCATACACCCTGCATAAAGTGTAAATGTACAGTAAACATCGGTAAATATTAAAATTTGCACAAATATTAGCGTTGTCGAACGATATTTTCTCAAATATCCCGCGCCCTGTATAATTGACGAAACCTGAAACTCTCCCTCGACACAGTTTACGATACTGTTCAAATAAAATTATCCCATCTTCAATAATTTATTGAGAAAAAAGGAAATTTTTAGGATCTTTTAGTTTTTTTGCCCGTAAACGACACACCCTGTATATGATTGAAACAATGTTCGAAGTAGAGGTTGGAGCCCTGGATCTTCCACGTTTCCCGGTCCAAGAATTTTTTGGAAATAGTAAATGGTTTTCGAGAAAATACGTTTTTTCCGAAACCATGCATTGCGCAGTAATAATCCATGACGTCATCGCGTCTACATCTTGCCTACAAAACCAGTATCGAGTGTGCATCTGGAAAAAATATTTCTTAATAGGACATCTTCCTTTTAGAATGTTTCATGTCAGCTTACACTTTCAAAAAATGCCGAGCATTTCTGGAAAAGTAATTTTTGGTTGTTTACGTTTGAATCCAGATGGCAATAAAATATAGGTAAATTATTATGTGAATTGATACTAGTATCTAAAGCCCGGTAGACACAATGCAATTTCTACATGTATTTTTAGTATTTAACAATTGCAAAATTTTTAACGGGGATTTTTTTGCGGTAGCCGCCATGCAATGCTTGCTAGCAAAATGTTTTTTAAATTTTAAGACAATAAACTACACTTTTTAGAGTTTGGTAATGTTAATTCTGCTACATTTAGTGCTAATTGTTTATTGACCTGTTTTATACTTGTTTTTAATTTTCTTGGTTAGATTTTCCAGTTTTTTAACGAAATTGTCCATTGGTACTTTTAATAACTATGTATTTGGGAGGCGAAATTTTCTGCAATTACTACACTTGCGACGAAAGAATGATCGTTCTGACTATATGAGGTGTCAGTTGAACATTTTTTCCACTTAGATGTTGCCAGTGCGATATCTAGTACCTCAATGTTATTGTTTGGGATTCCGATGAGTGACTCGTGCGCTCGTTGTTGCACTCGATAAATCACTACCTACCACAGGTCCTCGTCTACTTGTCTCCATTGTATTTCACTATCGATGACCTCTCTTCAGCTCTTTCTCGGTCTTCCCCTCTTCCTTCTTCCTGTAGGTGTCCAGGTGAGTATTTGTTTAGGCAGTCGCTGTTCTTCCATTCTTTGGACGTGACCGTACCACTTTAACTGTTTTGTTGTTATTTCGTCTGAAATCGTGTGGCCCACCTTCATGGTTGTGCGAATTGCTTCGTTTGGGACTCGTTCAGTTTTTGACCTTCCTGCCGCTCTTCTCCAAAAGTCCATCTCTGTTGCCTCCAGCGTTCTCATGGTTCTTTCTTTTAGTGGCCAGACTTCACTGCTGTATGTGACTATGCTTTTAATGATCGTATTCTATATTAGGTGTTTGTTTCGTCTCGTGAATTTTGGTCCCAAAAGAAGGTGTTTTCTTCCTTGATTATTTCTTTCTGTCCCACTGCTGGATATGTACATTCCCAGGTATTTGTAGGTTTCACAGCTTTTGATAGACTGACCATCCTCCAAGAGGAGGTCGCGTTGTACTCCACCGATATACTTTGTCTTTGGTAAGTTTACTTCCAACCCCCATTTCTTGTATTCTTCGATAAGTTTTCGCATCATGTATTCTACATCATCGTAGTCTTGGGCCATTATGACTTGGTCATCTGCGAAGCTTAGGGTGAAATGTCCATATTTCTGCATTTTTGCTTCCATATCCTTAACGCTTGTTCAAGATATATCTTGAACAGGATGGGGGATACAGAACACCCTTGTTTGAGTCCCTTGTTGGGTGTAAATCCATTGTATATTTTTATATATATACTTCTTTCACTGATCTTATTATGTTGACGCTTAGGTTTGTCTT